GTTTAGATTTAGTCCGTAGTTCTATGTGAATACATTGGAACAACCCACGGATTTACTGTCAGCTGTTTCCAGAATGGGACATAGATTTGTGCTAACTTGAATGAAATGATTCACTAATTATCAAGATGTTTGTTTTGGCAAAATATCTGACCATGATGACAACCATATTCCGCTATGACGTCTATCATGACACGGTGTACAGATTGTTGCAGTCAACCGAAAAATAATAGCGAGCTAGTAGTAATCAACGAAATTAAGCGGAAAATCAAAACCGAGAATCGATCAGCAAAAATACTCTGAAACTAAAGATCTATAACAATTTGGGAACTATAGCAATTTTAAAGACCCGCGGGTTAAAATCATGGAAAAAATCAGTGAATTGTTACTTTGTAATTACGATTTGAATATAACTGTATAGTTGTTTTTTTTTCCAAACTTAGGCGTATGGAAAAGACAAACTAGTTATGGTAATAATGTCAATGCCGTGATTTGTTCTAAGGTCTAAACCAGGGAACAGTTAAATTTTTAAAAAAAAATGTAATTTAACTGTTCCCTGGTCTAAACGAACACATTGTTCTTTAAGTATGGGTAACAGATTTGAGGTGGACGGTATAGATTACCGATGACGGTTCAGATTACCGATGACGGTTCGAGAATTTCTCTGTGGTTCTAGTATGCACGGATTGTTCTCTAGATAATACCGTAGTAATCGGGGTTTCCCCTTTTCAGCATGCGGCGACAACGCGTCACCGTAGACTGCCTATTAAGACGTTGTGGAATTTTATTACAGAGAAGACTGAGAAAATTCATAATAAATTAAAATAATAACAATAACAATAATTTGCACATGATATAATTATGCATCGACAGAAACTTAAATTTAAGTATAAGTATAGAGCAGATGTTTAGCCTCGTATGTTATGTCACTAACAAATGGGATATCTGAGGATTAGTCCTTGGTATGAAAGCATAAATGTAGGTAAACAGAACTATGTTGTATAGGGAAGCACATAAAGCGAAACATTTCAGGCTATCAATGATCCGATCACTAATCATACAATTAGCATAATCAATATAATGCAGGACTGATAATAATTAAATAATAATAATATTAAAATAAAACAGAAATTTATAACACGTGACATATTTATGAACGATAGACATAAACCACTTATTTTGATAATTCATGAATAGTATAGAATAAAATGTTGAACCTACCGATTGGAAGATTTCGAGCAGCTAAGAGAATTCAGTAGGACAATTTAAATCACAAAATAGTAGAAATAACAGTTTTTGATACTTGTGTCTTGATTCACTTTCTTTCACCTTGAGTACTTGTTGATATCTGAAGGTTGTTAGTACAAGTTGTTTCTTTTATCGAGTTTCCCGGCTAAATACGTCATGCAATACCTATGTCGTCACGCCCATGAGCATCAAATTCACCCAATAGAAGTAGGTACCGTCAGCGTTGGTCTTTGACGTCATCGCAACTCGTTCCGCAGGTGATTTCTTCATAGGACTTTCCTAGATTTTTTCGGCCAATTCATTCAGCAATTTGATTGGATGACATTGGATATACCGTAAACTTTAGCACGGATGATTCTCGATGCGATCATAAGCGACGTGCATCAATAAGCCCTGTGTAATCAAAGCTTTACACAGAGAGCTCCCTAGTGCCAAGTAACAATTCCAATCGTACGGCAACTCCAATCTTCGGGCTGTATGAGAATTAAATGAATAAAGTTCAAATCTTTCTCTGTATGTTGTTCTATGCTGTGCATTCCAGCATATCGTGAGCCGATGTTTACCCATACAGATCCACGACTTAATAGTAATAATGCTCTCCTAGATTTAGTAGGTTATTCTTAATTTCAGATAAATATAATATTCATAATTAAAAGAAAAAAAAACACCTAATGATGCCAACACACAATATTACCGTAATTAGAGTATTGAAACTCAAATAAGAACGTGGTTCCGTTACTAATTATTAAAATGCTTCCAAACAAATTATAAGCGTGATCTTTAACCACTAAATACAATGTAAATATTTAGGCTTATTTAGATAAAATAAAGATATAGGTGTAGAATATAGGCCTATAATTGATGATGTTTATTTGATTCAATTTTCTCAAATGAAACATTCTCTGCTTACTTAGGCCTATCACTTGTGTACCGTTGACATATAGGCCTAGGCATAACACAAACGAGTCATTTGGTTTAAAATTCCGACAATCTAACGATCAATCACACACTCATAATATATTGTTGAAATAACTAATTAAATAAATAAAATATACTATTCGATGCTCATAGGCCTACTCCCGGTGTTTCTATTTGCATTTTTGTTGTTGTTGTTGTTTTTTTTTTTTTTTTTTTTTTTTTTTTTTTTTTTTTTTTTTTTGTAACAACAAAGGTAGACGGATTTTATCCGGTATAAATATTTAGGCCTACTCCTATTTAGTACATGTATTCGAATCACTTAGTGAAGGGGAACAAACCTGCCGATGCCAAGGATCTAGTCATAAACAACGAATATAAAGTCCTAATATCAAACATAACAAAATTGCAATACCCACACGAATTTTTCCCACAATCCGCACCATAACAGAGCTTCCGACGTTTCATTCAATAGCTTCTACTACATAAATAAACAGTGCGTTTTATAATGTATCACCTGACTAGTAAAAGGTAGGCCTATATATACTTTGCAATAAATAATCTATGTAATACAGACACGTATGTTTATAAGTTATCGTAGTCGTCTGACTTCAAGTGGCATGTTTAGTGGTATTGAAATATGGGAGGGACTGATGGGGAGCGAAGGTGAAGTGGGAGGGCTCGATGGTAATGTAAGGGGGCGCTAGCTGGCAGAATAAGGTGGTAGCCCCTATGAGGTGAATTTTAACTACTTCAACGTAATGTTTCGCTTCACAAATTTACAGCGTGTTGGGGGTGGGGCGATTGGGGGAGCTTTTTTGAGAGAGCGTGCGCACTCCTAGGTACGTCACTGCTTTCTGATGCAGAATTGGTATATTTCATAAGAAAAATAAAACGCATTAATGCCTTCATTGAGGGTTTACAGTGCTGCGTTTAAATGAAACGTCTCATTGAACTCATGCATTAGACATGATTAGACTACTGATTATTACCGAATTCTGGATTTTGTTTAATTCGTAAAAAATTATCTGGTGGAATTTTCGTCATGCTCATGTTTGAATTGTACCGTTAGCTATTGTAAACAGCTAACCTGCTCTGTTGCTGGTTCCACGACCATCCCCTGTTCTGTTACTCCGGTTCCACGTCCATTCTCCTGTTCTGTCACTCTGTATTTTGATTCACATTCATGCCATTGGTCTATTACTTACTTTACTTTTAAAGTTCATACCTTCCAATACAATGTACTTTGCGTCATGTTTATACCCTTCTTCCAGGGAGATTGTTCCGTCACTCCCACTTCCAAAGAGGGCGCCTATCAGAAATTGTAGGAAACAATATTTCAAAGCTGAGTGCCTAATCCGTTATCTATGTTATTGAAAAAGGCGAGAAGGAAATTGGACCATAGTCTGGTTTCTTAATTAATGTAATAGGAGTAATGTTTTGTCATATCTGACGTGTTATACATATATCGAAATTAGTTAATGGGATAATGAAGGCAAAAATAACCTCACTGATTATTATCTCATTCTGAATAATGTTTTTCATCACACGATAGATATAATACTGACATACTTAATTATTTTCCTAATGATTCATATATCTAGAGGCTTGATCATCTGTGTAGTATGCTCACGTAGATGATTAATTATGATGGTATATTAATCTGGAGTACTGTTACGTCACTTGAAGCCTGGATACGACATCACGCTCATCACCAGTGGCACACTTTTGAAAATGATGTTAATATAGACCTAATAGGCCTACATGTAATTATAAAATTATAGGTCTAATAACAATAATGATAATTTAATAATAATAAAATAGTAATAGTTATGTTAAAAATGCAATATCATTAATAATAATAATAATAATAATAATAATAATAA